GCTTTATTTTTACATTTTTCGATCACAGCGCGATGTTTTCGTCTTTCTGTGATGATGTCAAATGCGCGCTTTCGTCGAGCGCGATTTTGTCCTCCGCGATTTTATGGTGGAACCGTAATACATCATTATGCCATATTGCACAATATAGTTTTCTAGTACACTGCTTTTGATTTTCATATTTTAAAAAATTATACTTGTTTTTTAAAATTTTCTATGATAAAACAAATAGTAATTAAAAAAAAGAAATTATACTTTTTCCATCACACAGGATTACTACCAAAAACCATTCATTAGGAAATAGCTATCTTGACTTCATGGAAAAAGTGAACTATAGATAATGAGATGTTTCTAACTCAAAAAATGGATAATTCCAATTCAAAACATTTTGATTTTATTTAAAAATAATTAAGAAAGGAATATTGCCAAAAACTTCATTATGATTCTACAGCCATGGACATAATGTGAAAGTGAATTATAGATATTCAAATATAGAGCATTATGAATTTGATGAAAGAATTTACATATGTGTGCCCCTAAAGAGAATTTCTTTATCAATTAAATCACATTGTACAATTTCTAATGTTGCATACAAAAGTATTTTGCATAGAGGAAGTAGAAGTTAATGTATTTCAGTCTAACAAAAATACTGATATGTCTATTGAATGAAGATGTAACTTGAAGTGTGCATATATCAATGTAATACTTTTGTTAAAATTAAAAGACTTCCTTTTAGATAAGTTGGTGTAGGATTATAATTTTAATTTGTTCTCATCTATTTATAATGTGTTTGATTAAGGACTATATTTAGAGACTCTTTGTGTAAGATAGTATATTAGGGGAAAAAAGGGAAATCAATTATATTAATATTCTAGTTATATGTACATGGATGAAAACTAATATTTTCAACTCAAATATATAGTTGAAATTAATTTAAAACATTAATTTTTTAAAATATTTTTCAGCTTGAAGAGAGGACTGACAAACCATATTCTGATTTATACACAAGGGTGAGTTTTTGAACAGATTGGTTTTCAAATCATCAGTACACAGTGATATGCCACTCAAAATATATGCTGTATTTTTTGGACTATAAGACATACCCCCACCCCCAAGTGTGTGAAAATGTCTATGCATCTTCTACAGCAAATATTTTATTTATTATTATTATTATTTTATTTTATTTATTAGTTTTGTATGCCGCCCACTCTCGGAAGACTCTCGGGCGGCTTACAATAAAAAGGGAGGGGGAATATAAAAATAAATAAATAAACAGTTTAAAATTGCAACAACATCCACAACTTGAAATGGGGCTGGACAATTCAACAGTCCCAGGCCTGCTGGAACAGCCAGGTCTTCGTTGCTTTACGGAAGGCCGGAAGGGTAGTAAGGGTCCGGATCTCAGCGGGGAGATCGTTCCAGAAGGCCGGAGCAGCAACAAAGAAGGCCCTCCCCCAAATATTGCAATAGCTGGGGATTTGCATACTTGGTGGGAGGGAGTTGGTGTGGTAGCAGTGGTGACAGGCAGCAGCGATCCCCTGCTGATCCTGGGACAGCTTATTGGTGGTATTCCGGGAGGCTGATCCAACTGCCAATCAGCTGTGAAGGCTTCAGCATTCCCTGGGTGAGGCAGCAATGCAGAAGTAGGATTTAGCCAGTTGTTAATGTTGTGTGCAGTTCAGAGAACTGGCTGATCCCAGCACTGGCTGGCCTGGGCATGTTCTATGTCTGCCAGACCTGCAAAAGGTCATTGAGCAGTTTCCCGAGGATGCCTTGCCACTGCCTGCCACTCTGCTGCAAGTTCGCCTTTCCTGGTCTGCGTGGTGGCAAGCCCAGAGACATGGAGAGAGAGAGGTATGAATGGATGACACTTAGCTCCAAGTGCTGGAGAAGGCGAACAAGGAAAGTGGTCGGGTTGCCGCTGACTTTCATTAGGGCGAGAGAGATAGGCTCTTGTTGCCATCCCTTTCCCCCCCATCGCTGTGCATGGCAAGGCTTCTTGCCCTTCACTTAGCCATCAATGCAATTTAAGGGTGGCAGGTGGGGAATGGTGTGTTGGTGTGGGGGAGGAAGGGTACCCAACCCAGCAGGTCTTTTCCTGCCTTTCGGCGTTGGCCATCAAAGACAAGTCAATGGAGAAATGGGCAACAAATCAGACAGCTTGAGGTAAGGAGACTACTTTCTCCTCTTTTCCTACTCCTCGTCTTTCCCTTGTGCTGGCCTCTCCATTGCAGCGCAACGCTCAGGATCCATTAGCGAAGGGCAAGCAGTTGAAGCAAGGCGAGGCAGGGAAGCCTTGTGCAAAAATACATGGACGAGGGAGGCAAGTTGGCGATCCCAGCTGCCTGGCTCACAGGAAGCTTGCAGGAACCTTGCTGGATGCTTTTCTGGTTCCTCCAGCAGCAATGGAAGGCAGAGACACGGGGGGGGGGGGGGGGGAAGAGGCAATCCCAGCTGCCTGGATCATCGAAGCAAGTATCCATTTAAGCCAGCATCCATCAGAAAGATCTTATCTGTTTACCTGGCATGGTTAAAATCTGAAATCTGACTACCATTCCAGTTGGCCATTCCTTTGTTTTTACTTTCATAACCACACACAAACCTGGGGGTGTAAGGAGGCACTACAGAAACAAAATACGCTCCTATGAATAGTGTCTAATGTTCTCCTTGATGTTCTCAGCTATAGTGCTCTTATAACAATAAAGGACACATTGCTGTCAGTTCTTTCTTGCAGAAAAATATTACGGTACCTCCTCACGCTACATACAAAGATGTCAAATCAGAAAAGACTAGCATATAAAATTTCTTTTAAAATGGAAGTAGTAAAATATGCTGAGGAACATGGAAACAGAGCAACACAGAGACATTTTGGACCATGTCCAACTGAAAAAAATGATAAAAGAGTAGAGAAAACAGGTGGATCAGCTGCAAAAAGTAAAAGATAAAAGTAAGCACAATTTTCATGGGCTTGCTGCAAAGTGGCTATGAAAGATGGACATAAAAGAATGGATCACACGTCACCGGAATAATGGATTCGTAACTTCTACAAAAATGGTAATATATGAAGCCAAATGCATTGCTGTAGAGAAAGGCATTCAGGATTTTACTGGATCACCATCGTGGTGCCACAGATTTATGAGACAATATGGCCTTGCTATGTGCACCAAAACTAGAATTGCGCAAAAATGCCAAAAAGAATATGAATCTAAGATTCTGTCTTTTCATACATTTGTAATAGATGCTAGGAATAAAAATAATTTTGAAATTGGCCAGATTGGGAATATGGAAGAAGTCCTGCTAAACTTTGATGTGCCATCTAATAAGATGTTTGATGTTAAAGGTGCCAAAAGCATAACCGTGAAAACCTCAGGACATGAGAAAATACATTACACGGTTGTGTTGTCCTGCTGTGCAGATGGCACCAAATTGCCACCAATGTTAATTTTCAAAAGGAAAACCTTTCCAAAATAAGTGATTCCATGAGGAGTTGTTGTGCATGTTCATGAGAAAGAATGGATGGACAAAATGGAATGAGAATATGGATTGAAAAAGTGTGTCCTGGAGAGCTTCTAAAAAAACCTACTTTATTAGTGCTTGACCAGTTTAGAGCACATATTAGCAAAACCACTACAAAGAGATTTAAAGAAGTGAAGACTCTCATCTAGCTATAATTCCTGGGGGTCTTACAAGCCAGTTGCAACCTCTTAACGTTTCCATCAACAAACCATTTAAAATCTATATGTGAGAAGAGTGGAACAAATGGATGGCTGGTGATAATCATGATCTGACTCCTACTGGATGAATGAAGAGGCCTACTATCACTCAAGTTTGTGAATGGTTTAAAACATGGATTTCAATGAAGGACGAAATTGTTGCACGGTCATTCAAAAAATGTAGCATTAGCAATGCCTTAGATGGAACTGAAGATAGTAACATATATGAAGATAGCGAAGAAAGTGATAGTAGTGATTGTGAGCATCTGAACTTTCTTAATTCTGCTACTAGTGACGATGAGTTCTTTAGGTTTCCAGAAAATTAGAAGAGTGAGTCTCTCCTCATTTTTGGTACAACTGAGTCCATCAGGAATCACTGCTTTACTTAACAAACATAATAACAGTGATGATGGTTCTTAATACTGCTGTTTACTTTATATGGTTGAAATATTATTCTGATATATTTTATTAAATATATTACTACACTATTTGGTTCAGAATATTTTTTTCTTGTTTTCCTCCTTTAAACCTAGATGCTTCTTATTATCAGGTGGGTCTTATAGTTCAAAAAATATGGTTACTTCAGATCCCCTGCATGCAGAAAGGATGTGTTTTCTTGTGTATCACTGGTTGTCTTCATTATTTCTTAACGTCTTTACAAGTAGAGTAATTTGGATAATTTATGCAATTAAACCTATGCAAAATATTTTGCAAAGTTAATTAGCATAAATTAAACACCTGCTTTGAAAGCACTAAAGTGGCTTCAAACTTTGCAAAACTTGTGCAGCTGTTTCAAAAGCTGTTCCCAATTGTGCAATTTGTATGCAAATGCACAAATCACATTTCTACTTAGAGGTCTGATGGACCAGAGCAAGTTTTCAAAACAACAAGATACGTTATTGAAATATTGAGTCAATTTTAATACTCAAATAGAGTTGCTTCATCTGCACTAATGTAATTTGTGAAGTACCTCTGCTGAATACTTTGCATAGTAAATTATGGAATGAAATCTGAAAAAAATAATAAACCATTAGGTCAGATTGAATGGAAAAGACATATGTTTAACATTTCCTGATGTGATTCAATAAATTCATTTAATGTTACAATGGTCTATATATGAAAATATTTTTGTTCAAAATTATAATATTCTTTTTGGATTGATATATTATTTACATATTTATCTAAGAAAACTCTTAAAATGTAAAGGAAATTTTAAAACAATTGTCTTCTTTAGCCAGCATCTCGCAATTCAGCAACCCCTATAAGTGGAAATTCTTCCAGACGAGGAAGCGGAGATACAAGCAGCCTAGTTGATCCTGATACCTCATTAAGTGAATTACGGGTGAGAAATTTTTATTGGTTAACAATGAAAGAAAACTCATATATTTGTATCAATCAAATCATAGACTAGCTTAAGAAGCATAATTGTATTTTTGCAATATGGAAGGAAGAAGAGAGAAAGAAGATCGAAAAGGAGAGGGAGGGAAGGAAGGAAGGAAGGAAAAGGAAGGAAGGAAAATAATGTAGTTGAATGTAATGTAGCTACATTTGTCTATCATAAATTTAAATGAGGGAATACGGTACATTATCAGTTTTTTTAAAATGATTTATTATTATCTATGTCGTAATTTACCAATGGAATTCTAAGTGGCTATACATATTAAAATAACAATAATATAACACACTGAACAATGAAATCTATATAACAGATAGACTCCCTATCTAGTTACACTTGTGACTATATAAATGTATTTACTTTTTCAAAATTTTAAAATCGGTTGAGTGTATTTTGTAAATAACCATTTCTTAATAAGATAGATTCTCATAGTTCTTATCTTACTATAAGAAGGAAGCAGAACTTTACTAAAAGGGTAATATAATTTAGCATAGTTCTAAAATTCTATAGTTCTTGACACCGTATGTTGCAATGATTTTAAAACAGGTTGATTATGTGACCAACCTGATTTTATAAACTTTTTTTTGCAAACATTAAGTGAATGCCATGTGTGTTAAGTAAAGCAGTGGTTCCTGATGGACTCAGTTGTACCAAAAACTAGAAATAAGTGCAGTTTTTGGCAAAACTGAAGAAAAAAATGAGGTGATATGATTATGGGATGCTTTAAATGCCCATAAAAGTGGCTGTGTTGCTGAATAATTGAAATTCAGTTATGTCATTGCAGAGGGGGCTCACACATCAGAACTTTGAATCTGATTTGTAGTACCCTGCTTTAAGTTAGGGACAACTTTTAATGGTTTCTAACCGACCAATCATAAGTTGAGGACTACCAGTATATAGAACTCTGCTGTTATAATGTTTTAGTTTGCAAATGTCATTAAGCACCTTTTCAGATTTGTATTCAAAATAAGATTGTGAACAGTTTATATCTGAAATTGGTGTTCTCAGAGATTTTGTATTTTAAATGTACATAGGCCTGTATAAGAAATACTGACTTAAATTTTATTATGTCATATTCAAGTATCAGGGATATATCATTAATTTAATCTGTAATTTGATAGTAAAACTTACACCAAATCACCTAATTTTTAAAACATACAATTATATAATCAATCTTTATGATGTTCTTATGCAATGGTTCATTCCTATGTCCTGCAGGATATCTATGATCTTAAGGACCAGATACAAGATGTAGAGGGGAGATACATGCAGGGACTTAAAGAACTAAAGGTATTAGGTTTCTCCCAAGCATGTACTCACTATGGCAATACTGTGGTAATGGCATTTTTGCAAATTTCATTAAGAGTTTACTAACATACTAATTACTCCTTTTATTAAGGATGTGTCCAATGAGTAAATTGGAAAATGGGTTTTGTACATAGTTATTAGTGTATATTACCTTTTACTTCAGTAGCTGCAAATGTGAAAGACAGTTTGCTGAATTATGTTATTTAGCAAATGTTGTATTAATAGTAGTAGTAATAGATTGTGCTATCAAGTACTATCATATTGGTGTCAATTCTTAGTGACCACATAATTAGATTTTCTTAGTAACATTCAGTTTCTAAACTCATGTCTTCCAATGGTGCATCTATTGCCACTGTAACTCTGTCCATTCACATTGCTCCTGTATGTCCTTCTCTTTCCTTCCACCTTTCTCAGCATTAGAGCCTTCTCCAGAGAATTAAGTCATCACATAGTATTTCTGAAGTAGGATAATTGAAGTACTTAATATTATATAATGTAATTTCCTTTCAATAATTTGAATTGTCAAGTAAACATTTTATAAGACTAATAATTAGGAACCACTCTGTTAGAAATTGATAGTGAAATTAAAATTAGAATTCTGTTCTGAAGTGAAGTAATAAACCACTAGATAATTTTTAGTAATTCTTTAAGTCACATGAGGAGCACGTAAAGAAAAAATAAATGAAGTACATACCAAATACATCATTTAGAAAGAAAATGCAAAATAAGGCTTATATTTGTGTATTTGATTCCAGGGCCAAATGTCAATCTTTGTTTATAGAATTATTGGTTATAGATATGAGTACGTTATATTAAAAAATTATCTGAATATTGTACATTTAACATTCAGGACACTTCCTAAACTTTAGAATCTAAAGGATGTTGTACATAAAATGTGACTTGATTTTTCAATAATTTTTTTATTGATCCTTCTTCAATGAGTGGGAAGTAAACACTTTTCACTTGTGCTTAAAACTCTTTGATTCAAATTACTACTCATAAGAACAGCTCTGCTGGTTTTGACCAAGAATCATCTCATGTTACTATTTTGTTGGAGATATCTTACTATTAGTGTTGCCCTGAAACTGGTATTTGAAAGCATATCATCCCTAGACTGAAGCTGATATTAAATCTTCAGGATAAATAGTCATTGAAGTCCTGTGTTTTTCATGAATTTTTCATCTTCCCTTATAAAACTCTTTTCAAAGTCTGTCTGACTTATTCTCACTGTGTATGAAAGTTGTTCAATGTACATACATTTTATTAGATATTTAAACATTTTTTAAAAAAATTGCAGTATGCAAAAGTTAATACCATTTTTGGGGGAAGGGGCATGATTCATTTTTAAACTAATACTCTCAAACCATTCAGGTATAGATTTGGACACCAAGGGGTACCATTTATTGTGTGTGTCTGTGTGTTTCTCTCTCTCTCTCTCTCTCTCTCTCTCTCTCTCTCTGTGTGTGTGTGTGTGTGTGTGTATCTGCAAATTTATATATAACTTTGCTTCCCAATTGTAAAGTTATATTACTGTTCAAAAAATCCACTAGTTGAATTTGATAGGATTAAAGTCATTTCTTATTGGACTAAAGTCATTTCTTAGCCATAATATTAGTGGTGACTATGAAGTTTGAAAGAAGTTAAAGACAGAAATATGCATTTCTTAGACTTCAGTTTATGAAAAAAATGCTGTGATTAATGATTATACATAAATATAAAAATTACTTGCTAATTGTTTTTGGTAGATCAAACTAACATAACTGTATTCTAAAACTATTATAAATAACTTGCTTAAATTGCTGGCATTGGCAAAGAAAATAATAAAATCAATTCCTTAAATGTCCAGGTGCATGTTAAAATTTCATTGACTTGCATATTTAAACATACTTAACTAGAAAAATAACATGATTAAGTATGGAACATTTTGTGTGCTTCTATTTAAATAATGCTTAATAAATAAAGGAATAAAATGTTTCTAGGAGTCACTTGCTGAAGTTGAAGAGAAATACAAGAAGGCCATGGTTTCTAATGCCCAGCTTGATAATGAAAAAAACAATTTAATCTATCAAGTGGATACTCTAAAAGATGTCTTTGAGGAAAGAGAAGAGCAATTAGCAGAATACTATAGGGAAAATGAAGAAAAGACTAAGGTACAATTTATAATTTATTGTATGCAGAATGTAGATTTTAAATAGCAGAATATTAAACAATATGTGTGTACTTAGGCATATTAGTACTTGAAAATAACATTGTATACTTTTAATGAAGACAAAAACCTTACTAAGATCTATGAGGGCTCAGACATGGAAAAATTAATTTGTTTTAGCAGCAATTTGCCCTCCTTTTCTTTCTTTTGATTCTGCTACTCTTCTTCTTAAATACTGACCAGCCATTTGTCTGAAATGGTATAGAGCATGGGTGCCAAAGTAAATTTAATTGCGGGCTGGATCAGCATTATGATTGCCCTAAAAGGGCCAGTTAGGTGTGACTGGGTAGATGTATCGGGTGGTCATATGACCAGGTGGGTGTGGCCAACTCAACCTGGCTGGCTTGACGTTGCTTACATCAAGAGACCAGACAAGGCTGGGAGAAGGGATCCAGAGGTCTCGAGTGGAGAGGAAGGAGAGGCCAGGGCTAGCACCAAAGCCTCATCCATCAGAGGAGCCTTGATGTCTGGGAGGGATCACACAAGTGAGCAGCAAGGCCAGAACATCTTCTGGCATTGCAAGCTGGATGCCTGGTGGGGCTACGCAGACAGGAGAAAGGTACTGTATGGCTTGGGGGAGTCCCATTACCACTCCGGCGTGACATCTAACAGGTAGTTCAGCTGCCCCCAAGAATGTGCCATCTCATCTGATGAATGAGGCTTTGATGCTCACACTGGTCTCTCCTTCCTCTGTTGGAGACCTCCAGATCCTCCCCCCCCCCCATCCCCCTGCATTTGCAAAGCTGTGCTGGCCCCCTGCAGCAGCCGAATGGTAGTGATGCATGGCAGGCCAACTGCCTGATCCTGTCTGCCTGACACCGAATGGGCAGTTGGCCTGCCGCACCACGCCACCCTCACCTGATCCTGCCTGCCTGACAATAGCAACTCCAGGGTCTCCACAGGGCACAGATGTCTTTGATCATGTATTATGCCACCCAATGCTCCTGTCCTGCTCCGTGCTTTTCTGATGCTGTGGGGGGGGGGGGCATCAGTGCTTGTGTGAGGCTGGGGGTCTAAAGGTGCTGGGGTGGAGGGGGACAGGCCATTTGGTTTTAGACTAGAGTCCAGGCTGAGAGTCCAAAATGGGAAGCCCTGGCTCACAGCTGCCTGGACCATTGCTCGTGACAGCTTCCTATTTTTAACCACCCTCTCCATTAGAGTTCGGCTGCTCTTCCCACCACATCCCAGCATTGACCCCTCCAGGGCACCCTTTCCAGCTGTACACAAGCACCGATGCCCTGCCAGCCTCTCCCCAGACATCAGTAACAGACATATGCAAGCAGCCTTTGCCTGCCACATCCCCAGACATCCTTCCCAGCCCTGCTTCCCTAAGAGGGCACCCAGCAGTGCTTACTTTCTCAAAGCTGCTGCCAGTGCCACCCTGGGGTGAGGCAAGGCCAAAAGCCTGGCAAAGAATCCGGCCGCAGAGGCAAGAGGCCAGGCCAGGTGCAGAGGTGAGGCCAGGTGCAGAGGCAAAAGGATGGGTGGGGCGAGGCCACTAAGCACAGCCAGTCTCCACATGCTTGCCGCCTCCTGTGTGTGCGCCCAACAGGATGGGGTGGGCCTGGCCAACACAATGCGGGCTGGCCCCTTGCAATTTCCACGATGACCTTGCGGCCTGATCTGACTACATCACGGGCTGGATTCGGCCCACGGGCCTTGAGTTTGACACCTCTTGCCTGGGAAGGGAATTGGACTTGAAGACCAAGGTCCTTTGCAACTGTTATTCTGTTATTCCTTGCCCATGATGATTACAGTTTACTAAAACAGATTTGAAAAATGCTGTCAGATATAGGGGTAAATTGACAATATTGGCCTAATGTCAAGCATTGGAGACAAACAGGGAGTCTATTCAAAATTGGGTCTTGATTACAATATTGGAGTTTAGGGGGTTAGGATGAGGATGAGGTGTTTACTCAGATATTGTGAAAATGATTAAGCCAGATTTCATAATTTGGTTCCTTTAACTGTGAGTAGTTACAATTCTTGTCTATCTAATAAATGAGGGATGCTGTGAATCAGTGGCTAAGACACTAAGATTGTCGATCAGAAAGGTTGACAGTTCAGCAGTTCGAATCCCTTGTGCTGCGTAAGCTTGTCCCAGCTTCTGCCAACCTAGCAGTTCGAAAGCATGTAAAAATACAAGTAGAAAATAGAAACCACCTTTGGTGGGAAGGTAACAGCTTTCTGTGCGCTTTTGGCATTTAGTCATGCCAGCCACATGACCACGGAAACGTCTTTGGACAGTGCTGGCTCTTTGGCTTTGAAATGGAGATGAGACTGTTCCCTAGAGTCAGGAACGACTAGCACACAGGTTGGCAACCTTAAACACTCAAAGAGCTACAAATGTCCTAACCGGAAGCCCCCCTGTTCATTTCTGAAGTCAACCTTAAGTCCGGTTCCCCACCATAGTCTCCTAGCGCAGCATCGTTTTTCCTCTACTTGTCCTAATTAAAAGCCCTACCAATTATGGAGCTGGCCAGAAAACCCACTCCTTGCCATAGAGTCTCCTGGGGTGCTGTGTTCCCTCCCCCCCCCAACTGGAAGCTCCTCTCAAAATTATGGTGCCAACTGGTGACAGGGAACCACAGCAGAGAGATGAAAGAGCCACATGTGGCTCCACAGCCATGGGTTGCTGACCCCTGGATTAGCACATATGTGCAAGGGGAACCTTTATCTTTACCTTACATAATAAATATTAAGAGTACCCTCTTACTAGATGACAGAATCTTGAAATTAGTTTACATTGTAACAAGGTTCAAAATATTATTTAATAATAACCAAAGCTACTGAAACAAATTCTAAAGTCATCTAATTTCCACTTTTTTTATTTTTTTTGTTCAAAAGGAATTGGAAAGACAGAAACATATGTGCAGTGTGCTACAGCATAAAGTAAATGAACTCAAGGAAAGCCTTTGCCAAAGAGATGAATTAATAGAGGTACATACTCATGCTGGAAAATAACTAATAATATTGTGAATGGTGTTTAAATGGTGGTGTATAATTTATTTCCTTAAGTTTGACATGTACTACACTGTTTGTGCTTTTCCTCCAAGTTTATACTTTGAGAAAATAATGAAATAGTTTTTTCTTTATATGAAGGGCTCCAGATAGCAAACATTCGTGATACAAATTGTTTCTGTGTCCAGAGAGGATTGCAGTGCTTAGATGTTATATTGATATATCATTTATCTTGCTGCCCAACACTTTTTCTTTCTGAGCCAGCTGTTTTAGTTTCCAGATTGGTTCTAAATTATTGGATATCTTGCTTTGTTAATACTGAAGTTGCAGAAGCTCACTTAAAATTTCAATGTCATGATCCCTATTTACTTACTTATTTTAAACCTTTACATGCCATTAACAATTCCAAAATAGTTTTTAATATGATTAAACAATGAAATTAAGTGATAAACAATAACACTTATTATAAAATGTAAAATAGACATGATTAAATTTATAATAAAATATTAAGACAGTTTATAATTTTCATGACAGTAATGTGGCTACCCTAGTTAGTAACTACAATATCTTTTGCTCCATAAGACACACTTTTTTTTCTCCCAAAAGTGGGTGGAAATGTCTGTGCATCTTATTGAGCAGATATGGGCAGCATGCAGCAGCGGTGAACAGCAGCAGCAATCCCTAATGCCTGGAACAGCTGATCGGCAGTATTCCGGGAGGCTGATCCAACAGCTGATCAGTTGCTTGGAGTTGCTTGAAGACTCCAGCGTTCCCTGGTGGAGGCAGTAGACATGGAGGAAACAGGGACTAACCAGATGAATACCAGATGGCCGCTGGGAGACAGAGGCAGATTTTTTTTTCTTGTTTTCCATCTCTAAACCTAGATGCGTCTTATAGTCAAGGGCATCTTACGGAGCGAAAAATACAGTAGGTTCTCAAATGAAGCAGTTTCTTCTCAGCTTAATTTGCTTATATAAACATGCTTGTCAGGTAAGCTCCCTGTTGGGAGAGCGAGTACGTTCAGCAAAGCGTTGTGAGAGTTGTGTTGGAGAACACACAAACCAGCATACAGGGACGCTGCAGTATAAATAGGCTTTTACTTTTGTGGAAATAGAAGTAT